CCATTCCCATTCAGGGTTAGAAAACCGACCAATCAGAGCAGGGCAGATTGGACGTACATTCCATTTGGTTTCAGACGTTGAACGTCCAATCAACCACGGAGTCAATTGACTTCAAACTTTGCATGTAGGCCGTAGTGTATATGAAATACAACATATCCAAATCAAAAGCGATAATTCCGCCGGGAAGGGGTTAAATTGTGGTGTCAAAGTCAATAAGTTGAGGTGCGATGTTTGATGGGGTAAGCCACCAACCCAACCAGACCCAACTAAATATCTATATTTTCACCCAGGCAACGGAGCGGTGCAAAGCGGTGCAAGATCAACAAAGTAAATTAAAATAGCAAAATATATAAAAAAACCGAAAGGCTTCATTCTGGAGTGATTTTAAACACAGAAAAACAAACATTCACACCAGATCAGATCTCGCGTAAATAGATATTAGGATATACTATGAAATTCCGCCCAACATCGAGTTTTCAAACATAAGGGGGTATTTTGACACTCTGAACAGCCAGAATTTGATCTCCCTATCTTTTTATATTTCTGCTGGCCAATCTTTCATTTATACTGACACCAGGCACAAACACGCTGTTTTGAAAGAGGAATTCGTTGATGATTTAGATCAGGATTTGATCGTTCGATAGGAAGATTATCATGAATCTTAGGTGCAAATTCAAAGAGCTGTTGATAAAGCTTCTCATGAAAGCTTATATGAGAAGGAAGATCCTTTGCCGGAATCCCTTGCTGCTTCATATATATATATTGAAGCCGGTATGCATTGACAGCCGCGGAATCGATAAGCCAGTAGAGAATAGGAAGCCAGGTTCGATAGGTGACTCTATGGCTAGTATATGCTGCCCGGTATTGATTTGCTAGATCTACCCCATTCATATGATGATTATAATCATCTATAATCAATGGGATTTTCAGCTTCTTTTGTGATTGACCTTTAAAGACTTTTCTAACAATATTGACATTGATTGAGAGTTCCCCTGAGCCTTTACAAGTACATTCAATAACTGCGTCCAATAAATGAATCGTAGTTAGTGCCAATACCATATTATTATCTTGCCAGGCAAGACAGAGAACATTCTCTTTTTCAATGACATGAAGAGTATTTCAGAGTATGGAATTTGAATGCTCTCAAAGCTCATCTAGTACTGCTGGAACCTGGTTTGAATGAGTGGTTCCACATGCTCCATACTCCTGTTGACGTAGTTCTTTGAATAAAGGAACTGATGTAAAGTAGTTATCCATATAAATTGAATAGGATGTGACCAGCTGTGAGATAGAGATTTCATTAGATGTGGCATTCGGTGTAGCATTCGGGAGGGTGATATTCGGGTTGATATTAGGGCCAATATTATGGGTGATATTGGAGTCGATATTAGGGGTGGCATTCGGCATGGTATTCGGTGTATTCAGTGTGGATATCATAGGAAGCCGCTTCACCAGATTCACCACCATAGATTCAGTTTTGTTAACATAGAGAATTGAAACATAGACATTATACTTTGTTGACAGCTAGACCAGGAAAAGACTATAAATAGTCATGTTCTGCTAGGCCAAATATCTATATCCTCAAGGAATTGGTTTATTAGACATCTTGTATGTATGTTGACTCCATCCAAAATATTTAACCAAAATCTCATCAATGGAAATCTTAAAGTCAGGGGTATAGTATTTTCAACATGCCATATGAAACTTAGTAGCTAATGACTCTATCTTATACCATCAATTCTTATTTTTGACCTCCGGGCGGCGGGCCTCATGAAGGTTAGATATATGGATATATCATTTAATCTGTTCAAAACGCATATGGGTCATATAGAATTGAATGGAATGAATAGAGTCTTGTTTCAGCTCATTCTGCCCGTATAGATCAATTCAATGGAATTTATGAACTTTCATATAAAGAAGAATGCCTATAAAGACCTTTATCTCTGCTGAATTGATATTTTTCCATGAACATTGCTGAATAGAAAGCTTTGAGAATATAGATATTTCAGAAATCTCTATATCTATATCTTGAGCTTTCTCATTCTTTTCCATTTCTGAAAGCTCTGAAGCTTCATCATCAGTATCTCTGGTATCTCTCTTTAATTTTGCATAGAGATTAGTAGAATTACTGATATTTTAAAAGCATTTCTCAGAGAAGAATAAGATAAACAGAATGTATGAACTGCTGATATTGATATTTGCAGAAATATTGAAAATTGAATCTCATGAGATAGGCAATATTGAGTGGAATTTCACTGATTCTAGAGGTGGAAGTTCTGCAATAACCTTCTCAACAGACTGTTTTCATTTTCTTGATGTTTTTGTATAAACTAGAGAATGAATTAGTTAGCTAGGTTATTTGAATTGATTAATATAAGGAACTCACCATTGGATTTGGTAGGTTTCTCAGTGGATTCCACATTCGCAGGTTTGGGGGGTTCCATATTCGCGGGTAGGGGGATAGGTGGGAGAAGATATGAGAATCGGGCAGGCAGGCAGACAGGCAGGGCTTCAAACATGTTGAATTCCATACACATTCTTAAGATCTACATGAGATCTTCAATCAGTGGATCTAAATGACCAATTATTATTCATATAAAATCATATAGGATTCTATTGGTTATGCCCAGGGCGCCGGTGCAGAATTCCATACACTAATTGAAACCACGCTAATTTTGCACCAACCTACGGACGAGAAATGTGATTTTTGTCGAGCTTTTAACATTTTTTTGTTGTTTTTCTAACATTACACAAATATTAACAAGTATTTCTCTTTATTCAGAGTCAGATAACAAACTGAATCTATTATTCACAACTTCAACTGCTATCATATTCTGCATATGTGTATCCCTTATTTTGTTTGAACAGAGGTTCTTGGTGACTTCTGTGATCTAATTTTTTGCCTCGCAGAAGATTCAGAGATAGCAGATTCAGAGAGTTGAGAATTCCTTCTTTTTTATTTATTGCTATCATTTACATCAGTAGAGACTGAGTTATTTGTCTGTACTGATGGCTTTCCTGATTTGGGAGCAAATATACATTCTTTTGAATTTGCAAAGTGAGGCTCTTTACAATTGGCAACCCATTGGAAGTTGAGACGTTGAAACCATTGGAAGTCGAACCCGCTGAACGAACCCGTTAACCCGTTGGACCCAAACCAGTGGGATGACACCATTTAAAAGTCAAACCCGCTGGACATGCCCGTTGAAGGTTATAGGGTTAGGGTTAAACTATCCAAGTTCTACATAGTGCGTGGTCCGACGCGCCCCCGTCCGATTTTCTCCGTCCCTGATTGGCCGCCCGTGCGTGCTCCCGCTCCCGCCTCCGCGTGCCCGCAGTGGGGCCCGGTCACAGTCGAGCTCCCTCTTCCCTTCCCTTCCGCGGCAGCCAGCCACCCCATTACTTCAAACTTTGCATGTAGGCCGTAGTGGATATGAAATACAACATATCCAAATGAAAAGCGATAATTCCGTCGGGAAGGGGTTACATTGTGGTGTCAAAGTCAATGAGTTGAGGTGCGATGTTTGATGGGGTAAGCCACCAACCCAACCAGACCCAACTATATATATATATTTTCACCCAGGCAACGGAGCGGTGCAAAGCGGTGCAGGATCAACAAAGTAAATAAAAATAGCAAAACATATAAGAAAACTGAAAGGCTTCATTCTGGAGTGATTTTAAACACAGAAAAACAAACATTCACACCAGATCAGATCTGTCAAGTTTCACACAAAGACACTGAATGAAGGAAATATATATATATTCAATGCACAAGACAGACCCAGCATCGACATGGAACATCAATTATTTATCCACTGTGAATCATACCTCATTATCATATGCCGCCGGTGCAAGCACGCTGTGTGGCCAACCGAGATTGAACAGCATCTGAAAGGCAAGGCCCATCAGCTAAAGCATGCGGTGGTTCAGCAGATAAAGGAGAACATTGAACAGTGGGACAATGTGGCTCGAGATACTACACAGTTAACACTGCCCACATACTACACAGTTAACACTGCCCACAATACTGAATGAACCAATCCCGGAACTACCCATTCAAGATGGCTACAGGTGCCAGCGGGATCCCCAGTGCCAGTATGTGGCAGGGAACATGAACACCATGCGCAAGCACTGGCAGAACAAGCACAGCTGGTCGCCATATCCCAGCCGTGGCCGTACAGCGCCACAAAAGCGTACGGCAGCACAGGATGAGGTGGACAGATCATGCCAGAAGGTGCAGTTCCAGCAGATATTTGCATCGCGCAAGGGCTCCCACTACATACAGATCCAGACTAAGGAGACTACTGAGCATACCGGCACGCCAGACCAGAACAGAGCCAGCCAGGCCATTGATGAGCTGGAGCGGTTTTACCAGGAACAGCAACGGCAGACCAGCAATGTCATCCAGGCCGGGGAGCACGATGAAGCCAACCCATGGCTGCGGCGGACCAGATGGCCGGTGTACTTGACCAACATCGCACCCAATGATCTGGTCAACTGCGTCCAGCGGCCCGAGGATGACACCACGTGCCCAGATGAACTGGCCGCGAGGGCTATCTGGGAGGCCATGGGTCAGGTTGCCCGTACCAGCCAGCGAGTCATCACACGGCTGGGCCACTTCGTCCGCATCGAGGCCATCCGCACAGAGCGACACCAGACCCGGCACACCCCGTTGCAGGCGTACATGGACGAGGAGAGCATCGCCGAGCACGTGAGGCCATGGCAGCAGATGTTGATGTTTTTCGCCCGAACGCAGGTCGAGCATGAATGGACGAGCGCACAGTACCGGTTCACACCACGGCAGCGCAAGACATGGAGGGTATTATGGCAGGTAGCCACCACAGAGGGAGCCGACCAGCGACACTCCATCAGCCCAGACCCCATGGATGAGCAGATGACTGAGGAAGAAGAAGAGGAGGAGGTGGTGGAGGAGGAGGAGGAGAAGAGACAGAGAGATACCCAGTCAGAAGAAGAAGATAAGTTCAAATTAGTCAAGATTCAGATGGCATGTTTGGATTTTTGCATTGAGCTGCTGAACCAGTGGGTTCAGATGGAGGATTATGAGTGCGCGCTGATAGACACGTTGGCGGTGCTGGGACGGGGGGAGTATGGATGGTGCGACGCGAAGAGCTACCCACCAATATTGTCACGGATCAAGAAGAAGATAAGTTCAAATTAACCAAGATGCAGATGGCATGTTTGGATTTTTGCATTGAGCTGCTGAACCAGCGGGTTCAGGTGGAGGATTATGAGTGCGCGCTGGTAGACGCGTTGGCGGTGCTGGGACGGGGGTTGTATGGATGGTGCGACGCGGAGAGCTACCCACCAATGTTGTCACGGATCATCAAGGTGGCACGGTTCATGGTGGTGCACAAGGCGCTGCGACTGGACGCCAATGCATCCGACATGCTGGCCAGGAACCAAGCAAGCCAGATGGTGGGAGAGTGGGCCGTGGTGAGCCCCATGGAGGAGGCGGATTACACGTTCACAGGCAACCAGAATGAAGGGTATGAAAGTGACAGCGGCAGGACCAGTGCCAGTTCCAACCCCCCATCATCACCGCCCACATCGTCCCCACGCAGCGATGATCCCCCGGCCATGATATCCATCGGCGGGTCAACTTCAAACAACAGAAAGCAGCGATCGTTTCAGGAATGGCTTGAGCTGTTCATGGAGGCATTCATGGTCCGCGGCACACACAGTCCCATGCAGTGGATGCTGGACCTGCGCACGTATGGATTGAAGGTGCACTACAGCAACACCACACCCGGCCACGTCGGCTGGATGGGAGGGGATGAGCTGCTGTACAAGGACATGCACTTCACCATGGGCGACTTCCGGGGCTTCACACACGGGCTGGTGGGAGCGACGAGGCGGATCCTGCGGGAGGAGTTGTTGTTTGAGAATGAGCTGAATGGACAGCAGCCACCAGCCATCCCATGGTCCACGATGCGGGATGACCCCACCCAGGGAGGGACGGGGTGGAATTTTTTAAAGGACAGCCGCACGCGGTGGCCTGTGGATGGGGCACAGTGGTTGATGCAGCAGATGCGCATACAGCCCGGGATGCAGCGGCGGTTCATCCAGCGAGAGCACAGCGACCGGCCCCGTTTGGCAATCAAGGCGATCAACGCATACCTGCGCTGGGTGGTGAGATTCCGGGAGAAGCTGAGCGTGGCGGTGCATGTCACGGCGGGCCAACCGGCACGGGCGCCCGAGCTGCTCAGCGTCCGACACATCAACACCGAGAACGGGGGCCACCGCAACATATTCATAGAGGATGGGATGGTGGTATTCGTCACGCGGTACCACAAGGGGTTTCAAGCATCCAAAGACATCAAGGTGATCCACCGGAATGTCCCACAGGGAGGTCGGGGAACTGGTGGTGTGGTATTATG